GGATCTGCAAGAAAAGATAATGTTTTCCTTGGATGTCGTCTCATTGTTAACCAATGTACCTCTACTTCAGACAGAGGAGTTTATCTGTGATCAAATAGAAGCGCCGAATGTAAATGTATTCCGGTCACAAATCTAAAAGAACTGTTATTACGCTGCACACGCAATGTCTAAGTTGCTAATTAACGGTACTATCTATATTTTATTTTTTATTACACAAAGTGAATTACAGTAAACGGGGAAATCCCCATGTGCAAAATAGCATACTGTAAAGGGGAGAGTAGGAGAACATTCACGTAAGATCCAGTTTATTGATTCTGTGTTTAAAGAGTGTAAGGTTGTAAGTTGGGGGGAAAACAACAAGAGGGAGAGTGTTCCACAGTTTGGCAGTTCGGGGAAAAAAAGAAGATTGGAGTAGAGAGGTACGACACCTTGGAACAGAAACCTGGTAAGGATGGCTGGATGTCTGTGAACGGGAAGGACGGGAAAAAGTTACAGGAGGAGGAACTGCCGAGGCAAGTTCCGAAGACGGGGTTACCATAGGATCCCCACTCGGTCTGTTAATTGCTGATATCTTCGTGGCTAAACTAGAAAGGAGCACGCTAAGCCGAACTATTAAGGAATTAGCATATTACAGTAGATATATGAATGATATCTTCTGTATGACCAACTAACATAGATCCCTGATAGTTGGTTCTCTTGAGTAGCGTAAGATAACCGTAGTTTTCTTGAACCATTCCGTTTTCAGACGTTCAGACAATCGTCTTACCACGGCTGCGATAGGAGCATTTAAATCGGCTTCGTAGTTCAGCTGCTGGAGGGTGATGAGACAGGCATTCAAATGGTCAGATAATCTATTGAGCGACTGGACATCGTCAGTAATCAATGACGGGCCGCCGACAACTCGTTTAACACGGGGCGCTTATGCCTTGATCTCCGAACCGAGACTTCAAAATGTTAAAGGCATCCTGTAGGCCTTTTTCTGGTGGCAATAGTATACAACTTTCAATGACCGCTTTCGCCTCGCCGATGCAGTAATGCAGCAAATAGGACAGCTGCATTTCGGGGTCGTCGATAGTCTTCATTACACTTGACTGGAAGTTATGGATAAATGGTCAGCATTTTGCTGGATCACCGACAAATACAAAATCTCGCTTTTTGGGAGGTTAACAAGGGATGAAACGATCTTTCCGATAGAAGATGTATCTTTCGGCAACATTTCTGGATGACTCTTCAAAATTCAAAACATCCGGAGGGATTCGAACCCAGCATCACCCACGCAGCGGCTAATCATCATACCACTGAGGCACACCGGAGGAGTGACGAAGTTACAACCAAGAACATCCCAAACGAAGTGTTTTAACAGTTTTGAGTGAGGCTTTGGCGGCTTTCGGTTATCTGAAAATCGCCGAAAATCAAAAAGTAAGATCATAAAGACTGTCGATGAGGAAACCGATTGTGCGCGGATGAGTGTGCGAGCAGGCAAGAGAACCGCACTGGGGAACGATAACATCCAGGAGGAACGGAGGCCGGTTAACGCACAGCGCACGTAATCATTACACACACTGACAAGGGGAAAAATTAAAACACTAAAAAAACGTACTTGGACAACAACTTTATAATCTCCCCGTTCCAAAGTGAATGCGAATTTTTGCTTTTTCTGACGTTTCTGCAGTTGGTGGAAGGGAAATAGGAACAGAGTGATAACACGTATCAAGCGAACCGTCACTACGCCGAGATTAGAAATGGACACTGGTCAAACTGCAAACAGCGGTGAAATGCCATATGCAAATCTGGAAATGAATGTGCCCGACAGAAATGGATCGAAATTTCGTACGGTTCTGAAGGACAAAATACTGCTTTACTTTCTTCTGTATGATATATGGAATAATACCAGAAAAGAAAAAGCCAAAGAATAACTGCTAGGTTGCACAGGAGAAAAGAATGTTTTCAATCAAAAGGGACTACGAGCTATGGATAATTTGAAACCAGACAAAAACATAATCAGACGAAGCCGGATTGATGAATGAGAAAAACGGACTGCATAGCCAAGGCAAAGCAACCTAGCCGAAGACACCAATACGTACCAACAGATTGAAATGGGATATATGAAGAAAACTGAGAACAAGATTCCTTAAGTACTGAAAAGGTTGAAGAGAAACAACTGCATCACGGTGGATGAATACAGACGTATGTAACTGGAGGATAGTATAATTGCGCGTTTCTACGGTCTCCCGAAAGTACACACAAGACGGGTATCCCACTGCGACCAATCGTATCACCACCAGGAACACCCATCTACCACCTAGCAAAAGAACTTTAGAGCTTATCCAATCACTTGGTCCGAAGTTTACACCATTGTATCAGCTCATCAGAACAGTTTCCGGAAAGATATCAAACAAACGAATTCGGAGGAAGATAAAATCACAGTGTCGTCTGATCTCACCGCTCTTCATCCTTCAATGGACATCAACTTGGCCAAATAAATTATGGCAGCTTTAATAAACACCAACAATAACCGAAAAATTACCGGGATTGAACGAGAAAACCCCCCAGGAACTCTCGGATCTGTCTTTCCACGTAGTTCCAATTCAACGGACAGATGTACGGACAAACACGAGACACCCCGATGGGATCATCAATTTTAGGACTAAACGCAGAAGTAGAGAGTGGAGAACATTGCAATTCTGATAATCGACCCGAAAGTGCGGATCAAGCTAGTTGGTGATACGTTTATCATCCTGAAATCTAACCAATCGGACAGGACGCACCGCTTAGTCAACAATGTGTTCACTGGAATCGAAGTCACCTCGGAGAAGGAACAGAACGGATAGATAATTTTTCTGGAAGTATTGCCCAAAAGAACTGGAGATAGGCAACCGGCAACCGAAGTCTACCGAAAGCCAACCCACTGGGATCGGATTCTGAGCTTACAGAGACTGCAAAAATACTATCTCGGACAAAACAGTCAAAAAAAACCGGAAACGATCACACCGGTGAGGAGAATTCGCTATAACCAACCGACGTTATAAGTAACGATACAATTTTTTTGCAAGGGAAACGCGGCTAAATATAGGGCTGCCATAAAGACAGCAAATGGGGAAATTCAGGTGGAATTAAGACACACGTCTTCCGGGCGATAAAGTAAATACCTTAACAGCTGGAAAACTACGGCCCATGAGGATAATTTCTCACCTGCGTTATCTATTTATTATCAATCTGATCAGGGTAGGTTCATTAGTGCCCTATTCACTTCCGGGTATAAACCATACGTACGTATTGTCATAAACAGCATACCTTAGTGAAAAACAGATTTAAGTCCAGTGCATCGCACCTCAAGAAAAGCTCCTGGAACGACATATTGTCTCAAACTATCCCTCAGAACGAAGCCTAACTCATTGGTTTTATGTAACGTAGATGGTAACCAACCAAGAGAGGACAAAAAGCCACAACATACAGGACTATAAACAGATCTAAGAACCACCGGAAGTAAGTACATCTACGGAGTTGGGTGAAAAACTCTGATTGCAAAACAACCAAGAACAATGATACGACCCACACTCATACCTTTCCGGTTCCGCTGTTGGTCACCGACTAGACTGGGTATCGGGAAGTATTGGGTACTTTTGGTGCTTAACCTGTCCGAGGGGCGCGTGATTTGATGAACTAGACATGGGTTCTCAATGGCTTATGGTTTATGTACGTCGCTCCGTAGCCCTGCCGGTTAAGCTTTGAAAAAAAGAAAGCTCACAGGAACGTCACAGATAAACTCAGCTGCTTTGGTCTGGTGGTATTTCACATTTGGGAGAATTATGGATCCGTATCTATGTTGCAGATATTACTGTACCGTAATTCGTTTGACACAACCAACGTAGACTCAGATAAGTGAGAATTACAAAAATACGAAAACCTGACTGTTTCATTTATCCCTATCAACGTTCATCTAAATGGAGTAGGTGATATCAAGACAATGGCGGAAACCTTAAAAAGGTAATATTATTGTCAAGAGTTTAACTGAAAAAGGTATTTACTGACATCGATAACAATCACGGAAATGTATGCAGTTATATTGTTGAATTAGCGAAGTTTTTTATATTTGAACTACCAACGCGCAACTCTGCGTCCCAATAAATCACGAAGCAGGCGTGCGTAATGGAGGTGGGAAGAAAACGAGATCGTTGGACAGAGATGGGAACACAATCCAACAAGTACAAAGGCGAACAACACACAAAACATACCAGGTCGTAGTCTCCGGAACCGATAAAACGTCCACGCCAATCGTATAAGTTATACAACTGTACCAAATAGTCACTGTCGTACAACAGTTCTTGTAGCCACGGGAGCTCGAAATGGGAAACCGCAGATTTGAAGGGCTATTTGATGATGTTAGACAGAAGAAAAAAAACAGATGTTACAAGTTGGGCAATTAATATTGGGAAAATTGAGCACACACTGATAACACTTACACAGGTGAAACGATACACTAACCGAAGAGTGTAGCATCCACAGTTGTTGACCAAAACTTCATCCTGTCCGTGACCCAGATAAAAAATCCGAGATTCACTGGGTCTACAATGAGTGAGTAAAGAGAGAAAGAGAAAATGGAACCCCCCGCCGATAGTTAACTCTATACATTTGAAAAATATCTAAATTGAGAAAGATATATACGAAATACAGTTTATGAAACAGAGAGTGAGGATTGAGCGTCATATGCAAATACACTGATTGTGAAATTGAATGAGAACCCCCTCTCTTCACGCGAAAGAAACAGAAAAAACTCGAAAGTTCGTCGAACCAGCTCGACCTATCCTCACACCTGTAAAAGTTACACCAGTACATCTTTTGGCCTTAGTCGGTCATTCCAGGAATCTTTCCAAGTTGTTCTACATTGAGACCCAACTTCCTCAACGCTCATGTGTGAAGTAAAACATTCCTCGTTCAAGAATAATGTGATTCTTTCACAGACATCGACACACCCCACGTCGCGACCTTACGTCTTTCACAGGTCAG